GTAGCTATGAACCGAGGAAACTCTTCGACATAGAAAGAGGAATGGAAAACCCCACTAGCTCAGTGACGGAGGAAGATTTCAAACCTCAGAGAATAAAAATGAAGCGAGGTTCGACGAGCGGGCAGACCGGGGAGGTAGACGTCGGCAAAGAATGGGTCTCAAGTGAACATCAGGCTGTTGGGAAACAAGTGACCAGCGATCCTCTTGAGAAGAATAAAACCAGAAATACCTCCCGACCGTGGTGGATAGCCCTTGGGACATTGAAAGAAATGGAAGACTGCTTGAAGAAATTGAACAGTGGAGTAGCCCGCAAACGACACAGTTGGGCCACACAGCAGAAGGCTGAGGTTAACAAGATAGAATTGGCGAACCAGCTGAAGAGATCCTGGCAAAACTTATTGAAGGATCATTTTGAAGAAGCTATGAGGACACCCTCATCGGCACCGCCGCTGATGGCGAATCCCTTTATCAGGACTGCAGGACAACTGATGTTCGCGTGGAGCCTGTTGGGGATAGAGCTGGAGACACTGACCTCGTACGATAAGTTGAAGCTGGGAGGCAAAAATCTAGAGATATATCGAATGCTGATGCAGCACGTAGCCAGGGACAACTCAGGCTTGAGTCTGGCAAGAAGGAAAGATGCAACCTGTTTCTTGAGATGGACGATGTCGATGATGACTGACAGCACCATCCTAGCATGTCATCAGAAAGCAGTTGGAAGCAAGACGCTGGAAAGGAGAGTCTCCACGGTCATCTTGAATGTGTACCAGAGTACTGGAATAGAAAGGGAGGATGGTTCTAGGCAATCTCTGGAGAGCCATAGGAAGTTAGATGAGATACGAAGGTTCTACAACAAGAAGTTCGAGGAGAAACACGACGTTCACCGCAACCTGGCTTCGTCAGGAGAGTACTTGAAACTCAACAAAAAGAGAGAGTACCAGTATGTTTCTGGAGTGATGGGAATGGCGTACAACCCCTTCTTGGACTTGGAAGCCGGAGGTGCCCACAGAAACTATGAGGTGGCGGAGCTACTGAAGTTCTGGACAGAGAAGATAATGGAAATAGACACTGTGGAGAGAGAGAGACCTGGCCTGGGTCTGATTCTTGAGAGAACGCCGGAAGTGATAAGTGTGCCACGCTCAAGTAAAAGAGTGGAACTAAAAATGGGCAACGGAAATGGCGTGTTGACCACGAATCTGGGAGTGGTATGGAAATTACTCAGACCCTCCTGGTGTCCACATCCCCATGCGAGCCTGATTGAGGAGGTCACTGAGCGAGTGAGATTGGCACCGACAGAGGATGAGGATTTGGCGACCTTGAGTATAGTACATAGACTGATCCTGCCTCAGATGAAAGAGTCGAGTGAGGTGACGAGTGGAACAAGGTCGGTGAAGAGGATGGAGCCGGGCAGTTGTCTTGATTCGACATGTGGCAACGGCGAGCATACTTGTGATGGACGATCATGCGTCAGGATACAGTCTTTCCAGAAAGAGGACCTCATCACCTGGTTCGAGGATATCACTGAAAGGGAGAAGAGCGAGATACAGATAGTGGCTGAATGTTACGCGAGTACCACCGTGAACCTAGCGACAGCCTTGGGATTTTTCTCAAGAATGTGTAGTCTCCAGTCACTGGAGAGGCTAGAGTCAGAACACCACCTGGTGACCGCGTTGAGCGTGGAATCATGGCCCGGAGTGTTACAAGTGAACCAGAAGCACATCAAGAGTTGGAAAATTGGACTCGAGACGGAGATGGGATTTCCCATGAGCGAAGCCTATGGATTGCCTCTGAATGCGAAATCCTTAGTGGGGTCAGTGTTGGCTAACCTATGTGGAAGCCACTATCCACTACACATGGCGATGGTGGAGGTGTCCAGCCAGAGGGTATTGATAGACAAGGCCTTCTCAGTGCCCAAGTGCGTGAGACTAGCTCGGATGTCACATCATTCACACAAGCTGTTGAGGAAGATCCGAGGAGCAGTACCGAAGGAACAAAGAGACGACTTGAGTGAAATCTGGGGTGAAGAACTTCTAGGCTTGGAGAGCGAAAACACAAGTGATCACGGAAGGCAAAACGTGGTGGGGAAACCCGCAATAGGTACTCCAAGCTCGGAAGAAGTTGACGTGATACACGAGAAAATGATGGAACTTGAGCCTCTCTTAGAAGCCTCGGGAGAACGCAATCTTAGAAGCATCGACCTCACGCATGGGGATTGTCCATGCCACTGTCTGGCGCAGACAGTGTGGTACCCAGACCGCGCCAATCTCTGTCTGATCTGGGACGTAGAAGAAATTAAGTCGTTGGGACTACCGGAGCATCGACAGAAGGTGACCATCTTGGTGGTGAGCACGATGCTGGCTCTGCGATGGATTGAAGAAAACATAGCGAAGTATAGAGAATCGAGAACACCAACAGCTGAGTCGATTCATGCGATAGATTACAGCAGGAGACTAGAGTTGTTCGAGACCGCATGCAAGGTATTCGCCATACCAGTGGAAGTCAGACATATATGGAACCGCCTGAGATTCTTTCCTTGGTTTCGTGCGACATTAACAGCCTGGTTGTATGTGGTAACAAAGGACCACATGAGGAAACATCAAAAGGAGTATCGACAATTCCAAGCCGAGATAGGACCAGATGCCTTCAAGAGACCTCTGCTAACCTATCGAAATGCGATCACGACGGGGTGGAAAAGAGTGGGCAGAGTATCCAGAGACAATTCTAGAGCGAGGGAAACGATACTGGAGGAGGACCTGGCGAAGAATGTAAGCATGAGTCTTCACAATTCCTTCTGTTTGAACCGGGAGTTGAAGGTGAAGAGCCTACCAAATCAATCGAAGAGGTTACAAGAGCAGAGGGAGTGGATGCGATCCTATGAACAGCTGAAGGCCTGGGAGGAAATTGTGATCAGCTCCGATGACGAAGAGGCACTGTTGGAACAAATTACAGTGCCAAGAACACCGGTGTCGGGTACCTCGAAGGCGAAAAACACGAGGTGAGCCGGCGGCTCGAAAGGAAAATTCTAGAGTCTTGAGTCTTGAGAGGGAGGGGGCTTGAGAGTGAACTTGGATGAAATCTGGGTTCACTAAAAAGAAATTTTAGACGAATAAGATATTGTTATTAATATGATAGATCTATTATATAAGTCAAAATGATGCATGACAATTTCCTGACTGAATAGGACAAAAGAAATTTTAAAAATTACCAGCTTAAAAAGCGGGGATTCATGGGTGCAGGTGTGTGCAGATTTTGATTGCTGTTTAGCGATAGCGTGAAAATTTTATATGGTTGTGAATTTTGGAAGGCAGATAATTTTAAGTCCGATGCAAACTTCTGTAAATGACCACTGGCACTGTATCTTGAGCAACGCTCGGTTCTCTGGGACTCACTGGCAGATGACAACACACGATGGGGACATCGATCTCGAGTCCGGGGAGTATGTGCCAGTCGGTCATGTCTGGAGGTTTGACCTTGAGAAACACGTAATTTTGGAGTGAAGTTTTAATTTTAAAAATTTCGAATAGAGCCTGTCATGCTCAGTTTTCTCGAACCAACTGAAAACGCAAAAATCAAAAATCAGAACGACCGAATTAACAATTGCGGGAAACTACTCAAGAAAAAGGCAGGAAATTGCTATTCGCAATTTCTCGATACGAAATAATCAGAGAGTAGAGCTGTCTTATCCTGAAAACAGGAGAATAGAATACAGACTTGAGAAAGGACGACTATTCGAACGGAAAGGAGTGAACATTCAATGGAAGAGTGGACAACTCGAGTGTCCCAATGGTTCATTCAGAAACTTTGATTCTTGAAGACAGAACTTACTTCTGTTGTTAAAACTAATTAGCATCAAACTTATTTAGTTATATTATTTAGTTCTCAAGCTGCTTATCTTTTAGTTACTCCTCATACTCAAGTGCATCGACATGTGAGTTCTCAATTTAAATTTCTCGAGTGTATTTTATGATAGTTATGTTGAGATAAGGCGAGTTTTAGGTCGATCCATCTGAAATGGATCAAAGTTCCACTGTCCAATAAAAAGTAACTAAGCGGATTGTTCCGACCCGGTTTTTAACGGCGTTCATGTATTTTGGGTATTTCGAAACCTAAGTATGGGGACGTTTTTATTTCTAGAGTGGGGGGGTATTTTGGTAGTGGCCTTTAAGCTGTAACGGGTTCCAGTCTCATGTCGCAAGCGAACCGAATTGGCTCCGACCGTTCTTGAGGTAGAAAAACACAAGAGATAGTGTCCCTGACTCTTGAGCCAATGGTTATAGGGCCTATTTTTCTTAAGCCTCATGTGTGACTACAGTAGACGAATGTTACAATCTTTCTTCACTAGTTGTTGGCGTTTGCATATAATTTAAGCCTCCAAATGATGTTCCGGAAAGTTGAAAAGTAAAACATGGTTGAAAGCATTTTTCATGTTTATAATTTATGCATTTCAAAAACCGGCTGATGTTATTAACGGATGCGAATCACAAGTGGTGCATTGTCATGAATAACGCTTACTATGGACTAAACTTGCCAAAATTTTAGAAAAGCAACGTTTTGCAGATGATAAAATAGCGTTTTGGGGTGCTTGTAAAGTTTCAATTTCGGCTTGAAGTACATTCGGCTTGAAGTCCCGTCGGCTTGTTGTCCTAGACCCGGTAATTAGGTCAAAATTATCAGGAACCGAGGTTACAGTCAGGAATCCTTCATCACATATTCCAGTCAAAATCCTAAGAATTTTCTAGATATGGAAGTGATAATGATTAAAATGAGATAATTAGAATTGATGTGATTAAAATTAAAATGAATACGGGTTACATTTCTTCAATAAGAACATGTAACTCGACACGAGAAAAAAAAACAATGTTTTGTAGATTACAAACAAAAATTTCGTCGACACTTTATTTGTCATTTATTGTGCCCATTATGCACGCGGAGTTTGCAATCTGTATTGTCAGGGAGATTCCCTGTCTTAAGAAGCTGCATGAACTGGGTTCCTCCGTAATTGTTGTGATAAACTTATTAAATAGTTTCAAATACTATGATGACGGGGAATCGTGGACGCTTGAAGAGTGCTCAAAATTCACCGTGTACATCCTGCAACGCACCGTGAAGAATTAAGACGAAGGAGTGCAATTCGATAGATGTGGCAAGTGGTGGCATCGCGCGTGTACGGACATCCCGCAGCAGATTTAGGACCATCTATCAACGGTTTGTGGGATTGTGTGCCTGTGCGAACTGCCTTGACGATGCCAAGACAGCAATGAAGACGTCCATTCGAGATAAGTCTATTGAAATTTCTCTAGAATCTATCAAAACTGAAGTCATCAATTTTAAAGCAGCTATTGTATCCACTGATACTAAGACAATTGTAAATGGCCACACAGCAACGCCTGTTACACCTAATGATCAAAATAAAATGGGAATAAGAATAAACGGCGTGCCTGATTCTTCCAACCAGAAATTGCATGACAGAATGGATTCAGAGATTTGTAACATTCGCCCGTAAGAGACATATCGACGGAAAATAAAACTAAGTCCTAGGACGACTGGCTAACGTCTAAACAGAGCTTTATATGCTTTTCACCGTCTCTACCAAGCCAGTACTTTTGGTGGTCTTTTCTAACATCGGGTCGACAAAAACGTTACTGCTTTCGGCTTCGGTCAAAACACCCAAATTAACTTAATTACATGCAGGAATAGTGAGCTCATGGCTGGGTCTCAGTATCCCCAGACCACGAGGTCACTCCTAAAAACAGGGCTACTACTATTTATTGAATCATTTTTGTTTTTGTTCAGTAGATAAAAATCATCATCTCCATCGAAGATGGATCAACCCTTTCCCCCAACTCCTAGCTTCTTATCCTTATCAAAACGAATCCAGATGTTAATTAAATTCAAATCAGGACATGACAAGAAGCCAAAAGTCTATATAAAAGGATAAAAGTCTCAGTTCCGAAACCCTTCCGTATTCTTGAATCCACTGAATCAAGCTCGTTAATCTTGATTTCTTCGTAATCCGGAAGGCTGTCCTCCACCCTTCACCGTTGTCTGCAACGGGCTTGCAACTATTGTAGCGACACAATAGTTGCAACTCGGAATGTTCTCTGCTATTCCTGCAATCTGCTGTTGTTTTTTGATCACGATTCTCGTAGTTATCGTCCGCGCAACTAATGTTGTTGTGTTTTTCTTCGACCTTTTTGCCAAAATGGCCGTTTCTGACGTTTCTCAGAAATTTTACGTAATCACTTCGAAAACTTAATAATTAGCAATTTCCGAATCCTTCAACCTTCACGTTTTGTCCCATCGTTCAAATAACGTTCTTAATCCTTAATAATCACCAATCCGGAAGGCTCGCTGCTAAAATTTCGAATTCTGCAGAGATTGCGTTTTTCACATTCTGGTCGATTGTCACACACTCCCCGGACAGTCCGGTCAATGTCCTCATTGAATCACGCAATGTTCGTAAAATGGATACAGTGTCATCGAACAGAATTTACAAAATGCACGAAATTACTTTTATCCACGTCACATCGACTCACGGCAGAATATAAATGGCATCATACTACATCACTATAGCCTTCAAATTCTTTCATTAATCTGCACATTGAGGATATAACCTAAGATAAAACATATTTTCTGACTTCCAGTGTCAATGTCCAGATTAAAATTTTTTCTCTTAGATTTAAAAGGTGTTGGCTTGCAGGACAGTCCTGCCAACCAACAAGCTAAAATTATCCTACTATGCTTTTCCCTTCGGAAATCTTGCTTGTTATTGTCCTGAATATTAAAACTAAGAAACCCTGTGGTTAGCAAGAACAATGAAACAATCTCCCTCTTCGAGAGATTACTCAAGCCTTCCATGTCACCACAAAGTGATCAGTTCTCCTAGCTGATTAAAAACAGTCATGCAGGCTGGAATATTTAAATATAATCCTTCACTTAAGCCTTCCTAAATAAATAGTAAGTGAGTGTCTCCAAAGCCACTCAACTAAAATCAAAATGCAAATTTATAAATGCAACAATTTCAAAACTCAACTTAATGTTTCAGTTTTCAATTACAACTTGGTTGCTTGGTTTCTCACTTGAGTTCTAAACACACATAAAACAATTCTGAGTTTTAACTTTTCTTCATCACTCCTTTGTTTTCTTCTTTTTTCGTCGTTTAGAAGTTCTATAAATTCTAAATTCTTCTAATTTCGTCTCTTTTTTCATCTTGTTTTTCGGTCATTCGTCAATGCTCCATTTCTTCCTCCTGTGATACTGACTCTGCACTCTCAGTTTCCGTATCTTGTAACACGTCGTTAGCTATCCTGACGCTGCTGGAAGCCGTCCTACAACACTTCTGCTCTTCTACGCTCTGTTTGCAGCAAGGTAGCGGATCCACGTTAGATTCTCTGTTCCTGCAGAAGCTGTTGTGGAGACACAACGTCACGTTTCTCTCCAAATCTTCTCTCAGTATCTCTGCTTTGTCATAGGCGGCGAAGATGGTCTCATCTTTCTTTATCGCTGTCAATCCGCCATATCTTTGGGCATCACCATCTTGGTTCACTAGTTTTGGGTATACTCTTTCCTTCACATGACCAGGGGGTGTCGTCAGCTGCCTGAATATCTTCACGTGTTGTCCAATCGGCGCCCTCGTCGTCAGGAATCTTCCTGGTCTCTCTTCACGATTCCCCTCATCATGATTCAGTCTCACATCTTGCAACGGTCTCGCATTCACTGGTCCCATCGTGTTGTTAGAGGGCAGTCCCTCCAAGTCAGCAAATCTCAAGGCCGTCGTGGAGCTGAAATTTATGCTAGCGGCTATCAACCAGTCTACGCCGGTTATCGAGTACAATCTGCTGACGGATAGCGTCGCTCCATTCAGCATCCTCCTTGCATCTTCGATGAAGCTTACTCTCTGGAGATCCAGCTTCATTAGTTCGTCTTTGTATATATGTCAGGGAGACGGTATGGGTCTTGACCACATCAACGAGCCTCTGTTCGGACGTCTCTCCTCTCGACTGGTACTTGTCGTCTCCGATCTAGTGTCCGATCTAGACGTGCTGGCTGTCTCTTTGATTGGGTTGACAGGTCCTATTCTTCTCCTAGGATGGATGGTCCTCCTCATCGGCGCTTCTCCCAATCGATCCTGTACGTCTGTCCTTTGACCTGGTTCGCTGGAGCTTTGTGGCCTGTAGTTCGTGACGGCCGGGACCGTGCCCAAGCGTGTTTCCAGGCTAGGAGGCACAAAGGTAGTAATCACCGCGTCACTCACTGTTCCCTCTTCCTTCAGCACTCCTGTGTCAAAGAGTTCTGCTTCCAGCTCGTCCAACCGCTCTTGGAAGACTCGATTCAACCGAGCTTGTCCTTCGATACTGTCGAAGTGGATGCCGTCCGTGGTCAGTCTGGCCTGATCCATAGCTCTCAACTCATGTTCGATGTCCATGAGGATCATTCTTCCGGCGTTTCGACTTGCGAGGTTCCTCAGGATGTTATTCCACATGACGACTCCCTCAGTATGCCTTCTTCCTGATGCTGTCAGGCTTCTCGCGTTCATTGGCACAAGGCAAACGGTCAGTACCGCGCAATTGAATTTCTGCCAGAGGGTCGTAAACAAACACACCATCATTGACTCCCATAATGCTTCCTGCTCATCTGAACCTCTGGAGATGTCATTCGTCCCAACTAAGATCATCACATTGGGGATCCTCCCTGGATTCATCAGTTCCACCATCCGATATAATTGGGCTATCGTCGCGCCTCCAAAGGCCATCACCGTGGTGACCCACGAGGTCCTCAAATTCGACAGCACTCTGACCAAGCTGTCTCCCAATATCAGATGAGATGTCTCGAGTGTTGGTTGCTGCAGGTTTACAGCTGGGCTCCAGGTAGCTCGATTGAAGCAGGCCCTCGGATCTGTCTCCGGAACTCCCGTGAAATTATATTTCAATTGATTATTCTTTTGCACGTCTATTATGCGAGACACTTTTTTCGCTGGCATCTTCCGTTCTTTCCTCTCTGGGATTCTCGAGCTCCCAATGAGTGGTGTCACGTCACTTATCCCCTGTCTGATCACGGTCTGGGAGAGTCGTACTTTGCCCGTGTCGTCAATCGTTCCATAGGGTGCAGTCACCCCGGAACCTGGCGCATTCTTGTTAGCGACCAGTCGTCCAGCTTTCTCTATCAGCTTCCTCACTGTCTGTTCTACGATGGGGTCACCCAAGGTGTCACTAGGATCCGGGATTGTTACTCGATTTGTCTCTGCTGGGAGCCGTGCCTCCGTTGTTTGACTCATTTCTCGAAGCGTCAAGAGCTCCATCGGGGACTGCCCACGAGGAATATCCCTTGCGGGTATCACTTTCTCCACGGCCGTTGTCAATGCCATCTGCTCCGATCGCTCTTTGTATTCCTGCCTTAAGCGCTCAATCTCTTGACCCTGCTTTTTGTTGCAGTCTTCAAACAACTTTCTCCACATGTCCCGATCTTCCTCCATCTGGAGCATGCTTCTGGTCATCTCGTCCAGCTCCTTCTTCGTACTTTTCAGTTCATCGTTCACCTCATCCAGATCTTGCATGGTTTGGTTCGTCTGAACTTTCTGTCCTACTTTCGCCCTTTTTGGTGGCACAGCTGCTCTCAGTGGTGAACCAGACGAGGTCGCCTCGCTGTTCATCTCCTGATGCATTCTCGTCAGTCCAGGTTTGGGCTTGGAAGGCATGGGCATCTCACCTGGTTGGTAAGTCCTAGAACTTCCCAATCCAGGCTCATTCGCCAAGTCACTCCCTGAGAGAGCCCCGTTTCTCCACCTCATCACTCTCATGTTCGGGCGGTCTAGTACTCCTCTTTCTCCATATGCTACCATCAACAGGACTTCCGTGGGGCGGTCCCCACGGTTGTCGTGCCCCAAGATGTTGATCAGGGCGGTCAGCAACATGACTACCTCTGGGTCCTTCAGAGCGAAGTCTCGATCGATCAGCCGACGATAGATCGCATCTATCATCGGTCCTACATATGCCTCTGCCAGGTCCATTAATTCATCCAAGTTG